TAAATCAACTACTCTGAAAAAAAACATAACCAGAAAAAAAATTGAGATTACAATTATATAAAGATGATGTAAAGTCTGTAATGTAAACAAAGGCTTTGTTGAAATTTTGAGCTCAGTGCTACAGTGATAAAAATGATTAGATATATATTTTACTGAATTTTGACACTCCTCGCAGGTTCGCTATCATTGTAAATGAATATACACTAGATAATTAATTCAAGAAAGTTCGGAAGGTGCGAAATATTAATAATATTCCAATGGTCGGGTCCCGACAATTGCAGTATAGGTATGCGCGGAACGACATTTACAGCATTTTTAAGATTTGGGTTAGACAGAAACACACATCATTCCCTCATTTTATTTGGCTATTAAAGACGAAGGGGATGCCAGTAGATTCACCGTGAAACGATGTTTATTATTTCAATATTTTTGCTTGTATATGTTTATAGAAAGATAATATATATCAACCTCGTACCCAGGCTCTTTCACAATGTTTCTCGCTGGAGGAAAGACCCTGGAAATAGCTGATCACGTGACTCTAGATTCTGGGTGCTAAATTGAAATTGTACTTGGGGGAGGGGGGGTTAGAGGAGTGCGCTTCTGGCCTTTGGAAAATTACAACTTGTGTGTTATAGTTTCGGGCGTTAAAATTTAAATTTGCAACAACAAATCCTGTAATATTTTGTATTTATTATCATAAATATTCCTCTATATCATTGAGTTTTCGGTTACATTAGTCAAGGGAGAAGTTGGATCAGATTTCAGTGGACATCATGGCTTGGCAACCAAAGCACTTTAAGCGCGCTTCGCTCAGTTCACTCTAAAAATCGTCCGGACCGAAGATTCTTTCTGTTGTCAGTATTGAAGTGTATCCTGTCTGATACGTAAACCCAACGGATGTGCCTTACTGTCTTATGTAGAGATGTGGAATTGCTATAGAATAGCAAGATTTTGTGATCCCGCCAACTGCATGTATGTAAGTTCTAAACAGTACATGTAACTCTAAACATGCTCTCCCGACTGTGAAAAGCCGGTCAAATACTGTGATATATAACGTTTTGGCATCGCTGAGACTCTGTGATCAACAATTATGTCGATGTACAGTTTTCTGTTATCAAACATATGGTAAAGTCATCCGATGCAGGAAAAGGCAAAGACTCCTTTTTTGCGTGCGGAACAATTCATTGAATATTTAAATTATACACAAGACAAAATATAGTATTGTATAATATGCGTATGCATACAATTATTTCAAATTTATTACAGTAATACACCAGGCACACAGTGGCGGAAATCTTGGTGGAGCGGGGGGGTGGGGGGAGCGGCCGCATTTTCGGAAATTTTGACCAAAAAGAGGGCTAAAAAAAGTCTTCTCGAGTGCAAATGGTGGCGTATGTCGGAAATTTGAAAGTTTTGTCGGAAATTTAGGAGGCTTCTCTCCGCCTCTGAATTTCCGCCACTGCAGGCACATTATAAATATTATAAAGAGCTTTCATTGCCACCTAGCTTGATCTATCCTAAATTGTATTTTGTCGTGGAATAGCATGAAATCCAGCTTGTATTTTTAAATAAAGACACGCTGCTCATCTGTGAGACATCAAATAATTATATAAGTATATAGCGTCCAACTATGCCGCACTATAGCAGTGGCGTAACGGAGAAACAGGGGGCCCTTAGGCATATTTGGTGTGGGGGCCCCTGTTGACTGTTGTCATTGTTTGACTCATGAGATACATTTTTATATTGAGTATTTATAGAATGTAGTCTGGAAAATTCCATCAATAGCAATAACAGTCTCCAATACTTGTAACAGCTAATAAGAATAACATTTGTTTTGGGATGGAATTAAAAAATCAGCTACCGTTGTCGATGGATGCTTAATTCTTTAGCATTATTATTTTTGCATCATGTTTTCCCATTAATTCTTAACCTATGCATTTTTTACATTTTCTACTTTTCTGGGCGATAGGCCGTGAGTGATGGGGCCCCTAACTGTCGGGGTCCCTTAGTTTTGGAACTAAACGTACCTATCCAGTGAGCGCTAGCTACGCCACTGCGCACTAGAGACATACAACTTATCAATATATCAATAGAAACTTTAAAATGGTTACAGAATCTCATAAAGTAAAAAAAGTAATGATATGTCTGTGGGAGGCATTGTGCGTATTAGGGTTAATATATATATATATATATATATATATATATATATATATATATATATATATATATATATATATATATATATATATATATATATACAATCTGCAGACATGCATGTTTCGGCGTTCAACGCCTCGTCAGTGCAGCTTGGTACACGTCTAGATACGTGAGACACTCGTATTAATACCCCATGAACTTGCTCTCACCAAGGCATGTGGTACAACACAGTGACTCAACGCATCCAGACATGCGCAGAGCGTAATGGAGCCAGAGTGCTCGAACGACCACAAGGGAAGTGAGCTTTGCATTATCGCTAATAGACATCCATTAACAACTCCACAGAGTGCTCAACAACACCGAAGTGAATTAAGGAGCGTAATATATATATATATATATATATATATATATATATATATATATATATATATATATATATATATATATATATATATATATATATATATATGAATTATGTATATAGTTATGGTATAAAGTGTCACTACATTTTGTCAGGGATGCACATAAAAACCGTTCTAAACCTTATCAATCTGCTATTATTCATGTGGCAAGGTATAAAAGGCGGGGTAAAGGGCTATAGAATTCAATAGAAAATACTGTGGAATATTTAATTGCCTTCAAATGTTCAACAACATACTCGTGCAGACAAAAAAGGAGAAGCAGTTATCTTATAATCTGTACTGTAGATTCTTTAGCAATCTTTTGTACCTTATATAACTCTTTCCAACAATACCCAGCGTTGAACATAAACTATCAATATTTTTAAATAAAATCAGTAGCATAAAATGGACATCAATGTGACAATGTCATTTGAGTATTCTGCAAGTGTTCAAATGTGTAACCTTTGCCGAAAGATCTCAAAGGCGCCACGACATATAAACATTATGCAGTCGCTCTCGAGAGCTCTGTTCAAATTAACAAGTAAATCGATGCAAAGTTTACTGTATACCTTTTCTAAATAACAACCCAGTAGAGCGACATATTATAAGGTTGTAAATATGTGAACCGGCCAGAGCAGAAAAAAGACAGAGCAGCCAAACGTGTGAAATAAAAGTGCCTTTAGCATATGTTTATAATTTAAGAGCAAACTTAGCCAAGAAATTAAATTTAGCAAGTATTTTGACCAAATGTGATTCTCAAAGTTGATTGTACAGAACACTTACTCCTTGCGATCGAGCTATGATAGAGCTATCCATGCAACCTAAATGTAGTTTAGTTTAGGTTTCCTCCTGTATTAATACTAGATCAATATAAGACATAACCCTTGCTGTAGCGAAGGGAAAACATATTCCTGAGAAAAAGACGAATATGTTCCCAAAAATATGATTGAAAATCAGGTTGATAAAATGATTAAATTCCAACCTCGACTGATTTCTTCTCAGTAATAAACAACATTGAAACAGGACGTACTGTTGCACCGTGCATTTAACTTCGAACACGCGAGCAGTATTTTTGAAGAGTATTATTGCCTTGCAGTCCCACTAGGTGGTTACGCCTTATAATTTATGACAATGACACACTTAAGTGGCTGTCAAAAGAGAAGGAGGGTTGACGAGACTTGTCAATCACGAATATGTTTATTTGTTACAGCTAGGATACATTTTAGGCTATAGATTAACGAAATAAAGGTAATATAGAATACATGATAGTGTTTGCGAAGCATCAAGAACAGCTATTCAATATAATAATGTCGTGTGACTGTCAACTCTCGTGCACTCTCATTCTCGTTTGATCCGTACTTAACACCACGCGATATTGCGTTGGTGGAAACTTTTTACAACTCTTCTCATCGGGTGGTCAATAAAGGTCTCAATGATCAACAACGACCACATTTCCCGATATTCGGCTATCGTGGGCCTAAAATCAATTCCAATCACTATACCCATCAAAGTGCGTATATATTATGGAGAATAATGGGCCGTAGCAGCATTTTCCAAACAAACACATTTTCCCTTGACATTAATTTCTTGCAGAACTAGAGGGGTCCCGCAGACAGCATACTTCCGTCAGCGAATTAAGATACGTATATATCATGTACAAATTAATATACAATTTGCAAAGTACACATTCAACTTTTCCCCGTTCGGCAAAGCAAGCCAAACCTTTTCTATTTTATCATCCACTTTTTATCCAAGTTTAACACTGAAAAATTTAATTACTTTGTCTTTGAGTAATGTTCAGTAGTCGCATTTATATTGATCATACATGTTCGATTGCCGACTTATATTTGTAACTTTGGCCTTCGTGATACACCTGTCACCAGCCGTGATATGCCACGAACGAGAAGCCGTTGTGAGGAGAAATGAACATTTTGAAATGATTTCATACATATGCAGCAATATCTTTTTGTCGAAAGTGAGACGTTTTCTGGATTTTAGGTTCCCTCTAAATGTGTTACCTTATTTATTTTGTAAATTTCAAGAGTGTGAAAAACTCAGATATATTTTCCAAGACCACCCCAGGATACGCCCATGGCCAGAAATTCAGGACATGCGCCCGCAATATATCTCAGCGGTTTTTCCTCTGAAAAGTTATTTATACCTAACACACGCAAGTTTTAACTAAAAAAATACATTTTGCTTAGTTTTTTGTTTAACTAAAGCAGAAAAATAGATATAATAGGTACTGTCGGCCTTTTACATACCTTTCATTTATTATGATGGGATATAAAGTGATGCGCATGGTAAACGACTCAAATATTTTGTGTATACATCGCTATCCCTCTGTGTAACCCGCACTGAAAGAAAGCCTGGTTCCTAAGCTTCTTGTTGATATCAAACATGGACGACAATTCATTAAACATCGTTATTCTTGCAATGTTTTACGGTCTATGGACAGGGTATTTATGGGTAAAATATCAACATTTTGTCCCGTAAATTGGAACAAGTTAAAAAATTCGTATCACTATGAAATTATGTAGACAAGCAGGGGACAACATATATTTTACGACGCGAAGTCTGCAAATTTCACGAAGGGTTCGAGGGATACATGCGGCCAGAGCAAAATGTACGTTTTCAACGATTTTCTCAAGTTTTATTATACTTTATTATACGCCGATGTACTATGAAGTGAACTTGAATAATGGAACAACTTATAGGTAAGATTTCGATGCGAAACTTCTCTGTTTTATGGTCCAGATATAATTTATAATATTGCAAAGTCTGCAAATGACATAGCTATTATCAAACACGTTTAAATTGAAAAAAACCGCGCCACTCCTAATGATTTATATATAACAAATCCGCCATTTTGTTTGTGAAAGTTCGCACATGCTCAGAATCCATGTCCGCAATTTCTGGCCATGATAGCGAACAAAAACGGACAAAAAAAAATCGAAGGACCACAAATTAGCGGTCGAAAACAAACTCTCTGCCGCTCTGCCGCCGCAAGATATTCTCAGAATTTTCTAACAGTTGCCGAAATGTAGGGCAATATTTTTATGAAAAACATTTTATAGGCTATAACTGTGTTATAAATTTTCTTCAAACTTCAACTTTCGTTAAATATTTTAATCCCAAAATGTCGTTGTCTAATCGCGAGTTAAAATAACTCTAAATTTAATCGCCATGACTAGATTATTCTTATTTTTATTATTTGATTATTCTTTTGTCAGCAATCTTTGTTATTCTTTTGAATTTTAACTATTCTTTGAGAGACTAATTTCAACCCTCGTGCCGACATATCCGCGTTTGCAATTATCATGCAATCGGCTATTTTAAATCGCCAAACGACGTGTTGGTTCAGTTTTTAACGCAATGATAGAAAAACGATCTCGTTCGATATTTATAAAGGCGTAATCTTTATTAGTATGGGAAAGTAAATCCACATACCCAATCCCACACACTTTTATACAGTCACACTGTATGTAATGAAATAATTAATTACATGCATAATATATATATATATATATATATATATATATATATATATATATATATATATATATATATATATATATATATATATATAGATAGATAGATAGATAGATAGATAGATAGATAGATAGATAGATAGATAGATAGATAGATAGATAGATAGATAGATAAAGATAAAATAAACCTGGTTTACTTCATAAGATTTATTCACTACAAACTATTATTATTATTATTATATTTATTATTGTTATTATTCTTATTTATTCAAGACAAAACGCACTAGAAACAGAAACGTTATATGGTTTAATCCACCTTACAACTCTAATGTCAAAACGAATATCGGACACAAATTCCTCCAAGCAATTGATGATTGCTTCCCTAAAAACAATCCTCTCCATAAAATATTTAACAGAAATACCTTGGAGCTGAGTTACAGTTGCATGCCCAACATTCGTAATATAATTTCTGCACACAATCAATCTGTAGTAAATAAGCTCACCTCAACAGAAGCGTCAACATGCAGCACGAAACCAAGACAATGCAATTGCAGGAATAATTCCTCGTGTCCACTGCCCGGTAAATGTCTAACATCCAGCGTAGTATACCAAGCAATGGTTGTTAGGAACGATACGAATCAAAATGAATCGTATGTCGGACATACTGAAGGAGAGTTCAAATCCAGATATTATTGCCACACTAGCTCATTAAGCAAGTATAGAAATGCGACAGAGCTGAGCAAATACATCTGGCAACTTAAAGAGTCAAAGGTCAAGTACTCCATAAACTGGCGTATTATTAAGCAATGCAAGAGCTACAACAACACAACGAAACGCTGCAGTCTTTGTACACATGAAACATTTATCATAATCTACCACCCTGAACTTTGTTCTTTAATTTCAAGAAGTGAACTTTTGTCGAAATGCAGAAACAAATTTCTCTTAAGCAATATACATTACTTAATATGATCTGTATATATATGTAATCTATACGTAATTTAATACTTGAACATTCTGTATACGTCAAACATGTATATAATATATATAACCTTGGCAACAACATAGCGCGACATTTAAATTCACCTGATGAGTGTGGTAAGCATATATATATATATATATATATATATATATATATATATATATATATATATATATATATATATATATATATATATATATATATATATATATATATATATATATATTCCTGGTGAATAAATTCCTGACAATAGCAGATGCTGAGGAAGCTTATCAAATTACCTATATGGGCCCTTCCAATCTGTCCAAACCTTATACATCTGCAAGATCTCCGATGCTACGATTGTCTCCATCAAGTGGCCAAAACCTTGTTCACCTCCCTGCTGATGTTATTGATATGATGACTTCTGACTTTTCAAAACTAACCCATCTACAACAAGAACAACTGCTCATCCACCTGTCTCAAAAATGGATGGTAAAAGTTAACCCTGGTTAAGATGCTAAATTTGTCCCTAAAAATTTCCTCACACTTGTTGCCAAGGCTATATCTGTACTTCATGCTGGTAGAAAAGATAATCTGATTTATTACGCTGCTCGATGCTTTGGAGAACAACGCCATGGAGATGTTGGTCATAGAATGTCATTGGATATAATGCCCTTTGGTTTCATTGCACATAATCTGAAGATTTTTGCATCCAACAAAATCTCCAGCCTTGACGCTCCAGATGACTGCAGGTCTTGGTGCCAGTCCATGTATGCTTTGTTTGGAAACAAGTGGGGCTCAATGCACTTGGGGCCTATGTGGTCCTGTGAGTTAGAAAGGCAGCATGTATCGGTTACTAATGATGTTTTTATTAAGTTTAGATATCATAAGCCAAGCATTACAAGAAACGTTTGGAGATGACTCGGATGTAGTAAGTATGGAAAACGCGTTGCTTGTCCTGAAGAATGTGCAAGATACTAGCTGTAACGTCCACACCTCGTTCTAAGTTTAAATTGACCAACCCTTTATTAACTTACTTTATCGACTTTTACACAACATACATGTCCACTAATTATTCATGCAAATTATTCATAATGAGTTCGTAATAAATAAAAACATTACACTAGCATTGCTGATGATGTGGTAAGGTCAGGAAGGACCTTAACAGACATCTGCTTTAACAGACATCTGCTTTGAAATTTCTTCACAATGCCTACCCAAATGGAAGGTGGTGGTTGAAATCTGATGATACTGACATTCAAGAGGGACTCAGAGAATCTATGAGAAATGAATGGTCAGGTGATGTAGATATAGGAGATGGTAAGTTAGGAATTAAGTAGTACAAATACTTAGAATACCTTCAGCTTGTCCACAATATAGAGTTGAAGGACAGGGCTTCCTCTGACAACATCAAAGAAGACCTTCAACAGATGTGTTCTAAGCTATCCTCAGAGAAAGATTTCCTGACAAATGTTCATGCAGATGCCAAAAAGTATTACAAGAGCGTCCACGATATGGCCAACTCTACAGAGAAAGCATTGCTTGCATGTGCTTAAAATGTGGACGAGTTCAGTAAGTTGCTGGAGAAGAATGCCTACTTGTTGCAGTCTTTGAAAAACCTCATAAGCATCATCGACAGAGGAAACACCCGTTCTATAAAGATCGGAACAACTCTGGTTTATCTACGTAAAGGTATTAGTAATTACTAGTAATTTTCAGGAATGTTATTGTAAATAACTTGTTATCTTTACTTGTATGACACGTCATAACAATTGTCGTGGACAGTTATCGGCAAGTCCTTAAACATCACTATAGTTCAATTTAATGTTCTCTTATAAATATGTATTAATGTTTCAGGAATTACCTCAAAGACACGAGTAACAGCATCTAACATACTGATATTCTTGGTCAGTGATGAATGGAGAAATTTCAAACCATATGCT